GCTCAAACGCCTCAAGAAGCTCAGCCTCAACATACAGGTGACTGCAGTCTGATCACAACATGTCTCTTTTTGAAAGGAAATTGGATTTGCTTTAAAATTGTAAAGAATTGAACGGCTAGAGGTTGCAGGTGTTCGTGGTGAAGGGACACGTTTGGCCATTGAATAATTCTCCACTTTCAGTTTGTTTCTATGTAATTGATTAGCAGATTGTGCTGAAGGCCTAGAATTGATGATTACGAGCTGCACGTTTTTTTTAAATGCCATATAGAACCGGTCCGGATGTATTAAGCGTGCGAGTGTTGTGAGGTTGTGTGTTTGTTATTTCTGACTGTGCTTCTCCCTGTTGCCCAGGACGACCGCCTCCGAATGCCTCTGCTGAAGCTAAAGCTGGCGGTGTGCAGCATGATGCCGGAGCAGATCGCCCGGTACAACATGGACTGCATCGCCAAGGTGGCAAAGTGAGGACGCTTGTCGGGTCGGCCGCGGCATATGTTTGCATTTAAAAAGAAACTGTATTTCCGTCCTCCTATAAAATGTGTTGTGATTTAATTAATTTTCATGTCCGTGCTTGCAGGCAGCAGTCGGGGGAGGGAGAGAAGAACGGGTCGGAGGATGATGACGAGGAGAAGCCGGGGAAGAGGGTGATGGGCCCTCGGAAGAAGTTTGTGTGGGACGAAAAACTCAGGTGTGTGTGTAACTTTTCCCCCTGAAATGTGAAAAAAAGATCATTTATCCATTGAAATGGTAGTTAATGGACGATGGTACTGAGAATAGAAAAGGCAAATGCATGTTACATTGTAACAGGTTCCACAACCACGGATCCTGTTTTTTTTTATTATGTCGCTTGTTTGCACTTTACTCCTTGCTGTTGACTCAGCAATGTCACTTTCCCCTCTGCTGGACTAAGAAGGGATTATCTTATTTCATCTTAAAGTTATATAACCATCCTTTCAAATTTGACTTCCACAGAGAGGAATGTGATTTAAGGGTCACGTTGCCTTTTTGTGTCTTTCTCCAACCTCCTTTTATTTCTATCCCTCCAGGCTACTACTATGCAATCTAGTGCGGGTGAAGTTGGGCTGCTACAAGCTGGAGGGCAAGAGCTCGCCGTCTCTGGAGGACTACCTCAAAGCCTTCATGGAGACCGAAGTCAAACTTCTGTGGCCTAAAGGGTGGATGCAGGCCAGGTACGTTGTGTTGGTTGGTATTCACTGAAATACCTGCAGCATTGTATGTCTTCAACTTGCTGTGTAGTACTTTTCTGATGTGTGTGTTTCTGTTTGCAGGATGCTGTTCAAAGAGAGCATCATGGCTCACGGTCACCTCACTGGCTACACGTGAGTCACGTGACTCTTGTTCACGTATATCTACAGATCAAACTCTGTCTGGATTGTTCTCACTCCTTTATGTGTGTTTTTTGTTTTGGTTCCAGAGCAAAGAAAAGGATGGTCACTACTCCCAAGGCCAAGCCAAAGGTAAGACTTTTATATCCACAATAGAGGGTTCAGTTTTTTTAATTAAGAAATGATTTGTTATGCTTATTCATGGACACTAGTCCGACCTTCTGTCCATTCATGTAACAATATGGATGGACAACGGACATTGAATATAATGTTCCTTTTACAATTCCAAAATTCTGTCTGGGTACAATAAGGGGGGGGGGGGTGGAGGATTATTCTGATTATTAATAGCTTCCTATGTGCTTGTGAGAAAGGGAACTAACAAATTGGCTGACTAAATGTCAATAAATATACATTTTGTATGTCATGTATGTCCCTTTACATGATGAATTACGGTGATGGTAAATGCAGCGTGTGTTAATGGTGTCACGTGTACTTCCAGGAGGCCGTGTGGGTCCAGCGGGCCACACCCTCAGCGGGCACCACTCCCTCCTCCGCGGCCCAGGTTGCCAAGCGACCACCTCAGTTGCCGTCTGAGCCCATATGTATCGATTCCCTGGACGACGATCTGGCGCCCCCCTCCCTGGACTCCATCTCCCAGGCCCTGGCCATCCTCGGCAACGCGGCCAAGGGCCTGGCCCACGGCGACCCCCCCTCCCCCGACAGACCCAAGGCCGCCGCCAAGCCCTCCTCGCTCCTCGTCTCGCCGCTCATCCAGCAGCAGCAGCAGCAACAGAAGAACTCTATCAGCACCACCGGCTCCAACGCACCTCACTACATCTCTACCTCTTCGTCCATCTCCACCTCTCTGTCCCGGCCCCTCTCTGTCACCTCGGCGCCGCTGCCCCCGGTGCGGACGGACGCAATGGGGGTCGCCAAGGGCACGGCGCAGGCGCACAGACTCTCACTGTTGAACACTCAGAGGACGTTGAGCGTGGCCAAAGCCAACATGCCGGCCTCGGCAGGATCGCCCAAACCGCGTCCGCCGCCCACAGCGTCCCCGCTCGTGGCGCCGGGATCAAAGGCGGGGGCCCCCACTTCAGGAATCTTCAAAGGCAGCAATAATAAAGCCGCCAGCGCTCATAGCATCACGTCGCCTCAGCCTCGACCGCACACCCTCATGTCGTCCTCGCACATGCTCCCCAAAACCTTCCAGACGCCTCGCCTGCCCCACGGCCCGCTGAGCAAATCCTCCCCAACTCTCACGCAGACTCTCTCAGGGGTTCAGACCCGGCCGCAGTCCAACTTCATCACCCCCATGCACGCCACCCTCACCAAGTCGGCCCACAGCAGCATTCCGCCGATTGTCAAACTCACGCCGCGCACCCTCAACTCTGCCGCGACCACCACCGTCTCGGCCTCGCCCTCCGTCTCCATAACGCCACGGTCTCAGGCAAACCCCCCAATACATCAGTACTCTCCCAAAAGCTCGGCCGGGTTCCGCGCGGCGTTCACGGGTGCCCAGGGAGGAGTGACCAAGCAGGGTCAAGTCAGCTACACTCCTGCAGGCAGCCAGAAGACGGCCAACATCAGCAGCACCAACGCCAGCCTTATTAACACCATGTCCGCAAGCAAGCATTCAGGACCCAGTGCCTCCCCCACAATAGTCTCTGCCAACCAGGGCCAGCGTCAGAGGATGGGGGGCGGGACACCTCAGGGGGCCAAGCCGGTCACGTCTGTCCCAGCGTCCTCTGGCTCTTCTCAGTTGCCACAGGTTTGTACCAGCGTGTTGGGATGATTGAAACCGGTACTGTTTTGTCCAAATGAGTTTTTGAACGCGTGTGCTGTGACATCACTCCCCACTCAAGCTATAATCAGTCACAGTGGTTTCATTTATTTCATTTGGATGCGGATGCAGTCGGGAATGAAGCGGTGGAGGCTGCGTGTGAAGGTGGTTGGCCTGTTTTTTTTTTTTAGTGTTTGCACATCTCATCTGCAACCTTCTGTTCAGGCCTCCTCCTCCTCGGTGGCAGGCGGCGGCCTGCTGGGCTCGGCCTCCTCGCTCCCCCTGGGGTTCGGGATGCTTGGGGGCCTGGTGCCCGTGTCCCTGCCCTTCCAGTTCCCCCAGCTGTTAAACCTGCCTCCGCTGGGCGCGGCAGGCTCCAGCACGACAGCCGGCGGCTCGGCAGCCAGTAGCAGCGCGTCGTTCTCCACCTTGTCCCAGAGTGAGTGGCGCACGCAGAATAACGGCCCAAATTGAGTATAACGCACCACACGTACATTTAAGAAAACTGTGGCAGGCTCTACATGCAACTTAGTATGTTTAATATTCGTGTTTACACATTAGGGCCGGCTGTGTCGTCCGTTCTGGTGTCCCTGCACACAGTGCGTTTGTGTGTGTGATGTCATAGCACCATGCTTTATCATGTTGTGTGTCAAATGCGAGCTTTGTGATTGTTCTCCTGTTTTTATTATTCCATTCTGTTTGCTTTCTTTCCCTCCTTTCTCTACCAAAACAATGCCAATTTTGTGTTGTTACTCCACCTCACCCACCTAACTCTTCAATCCCCTCCTCCCATTGGCTGTGATCACCCGCCCTTCACCTCATACCATGTCGCTCTCTCTCTCCCTTGTGTCCCCAACCCTTCCTTGTTCCTCTGTCCTGTCTCCTCAGATCTGTATAAGAGTCTCCAGGCAGGGTCTCAGGTTGCTCTGCCTCCTCACTTGCAGCTCGCTTTCTCAGGTAAAATCTGAACCCTCCCTCCACCCTCAAAAGCCTGCTCCATTAACCCTCCCCTCTTTCCAAGCGTCTGGTGTTGTCCGTCTCTAGGTTGTCCTATTCGGGTGGAGGCATGCCTTTTATACGTCATTTTTAATTTACATATCCATAAAAAGTTTCCAGTCCGTCGATGCTTTTCACTGACATTTCAAAAACTCTTTCCTGTCCAGATGTCAGTCAAAGCCAAGGAGGAGACGCCAAGAGGAAGACTCTATGATAGCGCTGGACTTCAGGGGACGCTGTCTAATAAAATGACCATGTGACGTGTTGGGACTGATTAACTTTTGGCGACAGACAGATCTGAAATGAGGACTCTGTTACACTTAAGATATTTGATCTGAAGAGAACGGCTCAACTTTTCGCAAACACCAGTTTAAATATAACTTTTTTAAATTGATTTGATAACTTTGAAATACTATTGATAGAAATTTTCAATGAAACACAATAAGGTTGGCAATGTTTACAAGATAGACCTATATCACTGTGGACAGGGAGGAGGAACGAGTGGGCTTTTTAGGTGTGTGTGTGTGTTTGAATGAGTGGTAGGTGGGATTGAAAGTGTGCCTTGTGTCTCCCTCTGATGCATGGTCAGTTTGTCCATTTGGTGCTGTTTTTAATCACGTAATTATCACTGATACCTGTAAGAAATGTAAACTGCAAATAGAATGAGCTTTGTTTTTTTTGGGCTGTACACTTTTTCATTGTACATTAATTCTTGTCTATAGAACTCAAGCCTACTTTTAATTAAAATCTTTCCATTGAAAAAAGACATTTGAAGTTGTATTTTCCAGTCTCACATTGATATCAAGTGAGACTGATGCAACAAAACACAAGTGGCGTCTAACAGGCGCAAACACAAAACTGAGGCACAACACCAGACATTGATGGGCAGTGTAGATTTAATTGACAAATGGTTTGGTTATTTAAATCAAACCCAACTGCTAATGAACCCTAACTTAACCCAGACATGACAAATTGAAAACATTTAATGAATGCCAAATTTCCAAAAAACACCTTTTTGACATCAGATCACAAGAGTCCCAACAAATAAGAAAAACAATATAAAAAGAAAAAAAAAGGCCAAAATGGCCCGTTAATCTACGCAGTTGGAGAAAGACTTTATGCAAATCGTGACTACAACTGGCAGCGCGAGAAGGTCCAGGATTGGCCGGCCGCCCCGGAGCTTCTCCCAGAAGGTCGTCCACCTCGCATACGCTTTGTTGGAACCCTACTTGACCAGAGGCCTGGTCTTATCGTCGTCCCCACACTCGTGGGCTTTGTACTTTTTTACCTCGGCCATATACGTTGACCAGGCATCGCTCTTGCCTGGCTTGCTCTGCGGGAGAGGAAACGCAAGGTGATTAAAGTCAAAAAGCATACAAACAAACCATCAAACAAACCAAAACTCTTAAATCGTCACCACACAAACATCGGCACTCACTTCTGTTTCGTCTTTCTGCTTCTTTGCAACCATGCCGGTCTTTAGGAACACGCCGCCTCTGCGCTTTCCCACCTGGGTTAGGGGATAGAAGACTGAAACCGTTACAGGAGCCCCTGCAGGTGGACTGTCAAAGAAGGAGACTACACCAGAGCAGGAGGTCTACGCTTAGTTTCCTGCGGCACCACCGGAGAAACCACCTCCCAGTAAGAAGGAGCATCCCTAGTGGTCGCTGGTCTACAAATAGCCACAATATTGAAAGTGTTAAAAAAAAAAAAAAAACTAATCGCAGGCACGTGAGTGAAATGCAAACACTACTGAAATATTGGCCATTATTTCAGGATGTAATACGTCAGAGCACCGCTTTGGATGCTTGTTGGAATACTGCTATCTCATCTTACAACTGCCAAACCCCTTACAAAGCTCGTCACGGGAGGGGGCTTCTTTTCCACTGGTGTCTGTCCTTGCTCGGTGGCTCTCGCCTCTCCACCACTTTGCTGCGTGTCCTTTTTCCTCTTCGCCTCAGCCTCCATCTTCTTCTTGAACATCTCCATGAAGCTGCCGTCGTTGGCGAACGCGTTGCCGCCGGGCCCCGCAGCGAGGCTCCCGGGCCCCGGCGCGGGGCTGCTGGAGGGGGACGCGGGGCTGCCGCAGCTGGAGTCGCTGCTGCTGCCGCTCGTCTGGGCTTTGCAGCGCGCGCGCTTTGGATCCATGTTGCTCGGTGCGGCGGCTCGAGTCGAGTGCGTGTCCGATCTCCGCGGAGCGCGGCTTTGTTGCCAAGTTGGCCTTGAATGAACGACGCTGCTCAACACGACGGGCTGGATCCCACCCGCGACACAGACGCAGTCCAGATGAAATGTTACGGTCCAAAGGGGAGTAAAAAGGCTGCTCGATATCAGATCACACCCTCCGGACAAAAACAAATTCAGCCGCTGCTCCGCCGGCTAACGCGGCTAACGCGGCGGGCTAATGTCCGATATAGTGAGTCCGTTACAGACGAACAAACTCAACTTGAACCTCCAATTCATGTGGGAGACGAGCCCAAAGGTAGAGAGGTGTACCGCAAAGTCAGAATATCTGCAGCAACGTCTAAGAGGTTCTCCGGGTTAACACACGCGTTGCGCTAACTTCAGCCGTTTGCGAGTTGTTGTCGGCCATGTTTAATTTCCGCCTGGTGACGTCACATCTGGGCTGCGTTGTCCCGGAAGTGAAACAGATATTTAAGGATCCTCAGCGTCTGTGTATAAATATTATATGTGTATAATGGTGTTCCGCCTTATTTTAAGCCTTGATTATATTTTCTCACTTTTTTTAAGTAAGCTATAAAGGGACATTAATTAACATGTATTTTAATCATCATTATGTATTTATCTCGAGATAATCCGTCACTACGCAAAGACATAAACGTATTTGTATTATTATATTCATTTTCAGACATACTATAACTTTTTTTAAACATGCTATATAATGGCTTTCTTCCACATACTTGAAATGAGTATATTTATTCATATTTTTTCTTATGACATAATATTCTAAACATACTAAACTACTACTAACTAACTACTGACATACTCATTAGGTGAATTGTTCTAATATTTTAGTTTTATACCAATACTTATTTTCGACACACTAAATAATTCTATGACCTTTGTCATAGATACATTGATTGATTGATAATTACTAATCTTGCAAGGCCATTTTTTTCCTAAAGCAATATGTACAAGCAAAGAATTAAGAGAGAAGAATTATATAAAATAGAAAAATGCACAGTACATAGAATGAGAATGGAATAGTATTGAATTAGTATAACGAACAGTGATATTTACACCACATCAAACAGTGGTGTAAAGATCAACCAAACAACCAAACCGCCATGTAACTGTGTAACAGTGTGAACGATTTAGCCTAAGTTGTTTTTTTTGTAAATTGTCATTGCAGTTGTTGATGGAGAGGTCATCTCTTCAGTTTCCTCCTCTTCATCACCTTTTGCACACAGGGCTGTGTGCAAAAGGTGATGTTTCAATGATGGAGCCGGCCTTCTTAACCAGTTTGTTCAATGAGACTTCTGAGAAGTACAGAGTGGTAACCGACTGGTAGAACATCTCCAACTTCTTGCTGCACACATTGAGGGTCGAAGCAGCCTCTACACCGTACGGGTCTCTTTTTAAAACTTTTTCAACATGCAATACAACATTTCTGGACGTACTATACGTCAATATATTATATACCCGATGTTTTGATCAACTATGATTTTTCAGGGGAATTTAGAAACATATTACAACATAATTTGTTTCTGACCTTTTCTTATGACATAATATACAACTATATATATATTCTCAGCCCACAATATAATGTCTTTTTTTACATACTGTGCTATGTTTTTTATTGAATTCTATGACTTTTTTAATGTCTTTCTCCAACCAACTATACTATAAACATTTTCCAATATACTATACTATGACCTTTATCAACATGCTATAACTTTTGAATGGCTTTTTGGACATACTATACTATGATTTTCTTTTCTTTTTTTTTATTTGACAAACTATAACCTGGGTTTTTTTTTTACTTTTGACTTACAATACTTGGACCTAATTGTGCTTTTATCTACTGTACTATGGCTTACTATTATAACACAGGATTTTGAAACTATGGCTTCATGTTTAAATATTATGAGACCTCATATCCCATTCTTTATTGCGTTTTTCAGTGATATATATGTTATGACATGAAAAGAATTACTGTATTTTTTATGGCCTCCCTTAACGGTGTACAATAAAATGTATTTTTTCATGACCTTTTCTTATTTGAAGAGATTTTCAGGACCTCTCTATAAGATGCTAAACTATGACATTTTAAAGATATACACTAATTATTATATGGCATACATGGCTTTCATAACATTTTAAACTATACTCAACTTTTAACCAACCTTTGTCTGACTTGTGCCTTTCTTATCATACTTTATGTATTATGACTTATTTTTATGAAATACTAAAAAATGGCTGGTATATGAAAAACGTAGGCACTCAAAAGTAGAACAACGAAACCACCAGAAAAAATTGGCAAGAACTAACTCGAGGACTCTTGCATGTATGTGGCTCTTTGCGTGTCCCTGCATTTCTCTGAAAACACAACCATAAACTAGGCTTTAAGTAGCGGAGAAAATAACTGCTTTGAAGTTGTCAATCAGAGCCCAGGTTTCCATGGTTATGTAATGTGTGACTTGGAACGATTGCAGCCTTTTGCACGTGTGACAGTCCGGGCTGTCGAATCAAACGCTCAGCACTTCAACACAAAAGTCGCCAAGCGAATCTTAGATTTATAGTTTTGTAATAAACTTGTTTAGCAGCCTTTGGAAGACCTGAAACTATACCATGACTGTTAATCTTTAAATTTCCGGTTGTAAAAGAATTACATCAAATTTAAATTTCGAATGTGATCACACATACCTTCAGTATTGAATAGGACCAAGAGGCCGCTGGGACTCATTAGTAGCGGATACAGAATTAGGACAAAATGAGAAGAACTCACTTATTTAGCGTCAAGCATATTCCAAAGAGGGGCACTTTATTTTGAAAGGTTCCACTGTTGTAAAAGAAAAGGGTTCCAGTCCCTGGCAGTACAGAAGACTGGCAAATGTGTTTAACAATTTATATTGACAAAGTAGCCAATAGGGTGGAATAATGAAAAACCAAGTCAAGCTATTGTGGATTAAAGGGTAGTCGTTCATGGGAATGTAGAAAAAGAGATTAAGTACTGAACTAGCACTAGTGTGAGCGAGGGTAAACGTTACTGCTTTAAAGTGAATCTGAAAAGGTTGCGTAACAGAGGCAGATCAGACACACAAGTCCAGCTCAAAAGGTTTATTCAGATTAACACATCCAGTCATCAGATCCTTAAATGCCATACGAGGAGATTTATAGGTAATGAGGGGGAAGTCATCACCTTATACATCGCCACCCGTATATTACATTAAGAAACCACCTGAACATACGAGAACTAGTCAACTCCATTTAGATATTAGATTTTGAATGAAATGAACGCTCAGCAGGAGGGCGCGTTTCCCTCCTGGTTCAACCCTGCGACTTTGCACGTTTATGCCTTTCCCTCCAGGGTGTGCTTGTCGAACAGGTACTCCGCCATCTTGTTTTTGTTGGCGTCCATGCGGGTGAGGTTGGTGATGTGGTCGCCTAGCTTCTTGATGGCCTCCACCTGCTCGTTCAGGTAGTGAGTCTCCAGGAAGTCGCACATCTGACAAAGAATAGAGAGTCAATTTCAAGCACTGAAAAAAATGCACTCGAGTGGTTTTGTCGGTACCCTCTGTGGCGCAGAGTCACTTACATGAGGGTCTCCATGCTCAGACGCTAGTTTGTGCAGGTCCAAAAGGGCCTGGTTGACATTCTTCTCCAGCTGCAGGGCACACTGCATGGCCTCCAGTCCGCTCCCCCACTCATCACGTTCTGGTTTCTGCAGAGGAAAAAAAAAGTCAGTTACAGCAGACTGAACGGTCATTACATTAAACCAAATAAGGGTCAACGGTTCCTAGAAAACGCTGCCACATGCGGGAGATGCGTCCTCCTGGCTGTACAGACCTTGACGTCCTGCAGGAAGATGCGTCCTCCCCGCTTGTTCTGGAAGCACAGCAGCTTCTCAGCGTGCTCCTTCTCCTCGTCGCTGTTCTCCTTGAAGAAGTGAGCGAAGCCTTTAAGGGCCACATCGTCACGGGAGAAGTAAAAGGCCTGTGAGGTGACAGGAGGTCAAACGGTTATTAGCAGACGGCCCCAATCATTAAGAAAATAAAAACGGGACGATAGGAGGGGGGCACCATCGAAATATTGCATTAACGTTAGGAAAAAAAAAATGTATGATACAAGTTGTATTTAAGTCAACTAATTTCTCTTTTTACATGAAGACAAAACCAACAGATGCAGATACATTGCTACATTTCTTAGGAGGAGAAGAAGCCCTCTCGGCGCGCTGCTCACCATGGAGGTGTAGGTGTAGGAGGCGGACAGCTCCATGTTCACCATCCGGTTGATGGCGGCCTCGCAGTCGCGGTGGTAGTTCTGACGGACCTGAGACTCCATTTTGGCTGGTGAGGTTTTGTTTTTTTCTTAAGAAAACGGTACAAAAATAGAGCTTAACGGCGACTTTCTCGGTGGTGTTCAAGTAGTGAAGGTCTCTGGAGCGCGGAATGCAGAGTAGATGAAGTAGTTCTTGGGACGAAGGCAGAAGTTCCGTTCAAACACTGTTGAAGCAAGAACTCCGGCTGGCTTTTCTTCCCTGGTGTGAAATGGCAGTGGCCGCGCGCTCTCTTTATACCCGAGCGGCAGAGCGCGTGACCCGTGTTAAGTTACGTCACTCTTTCTTCATTTCCACCAATGGGCTGTTGAGCACCTGACAGCTGCTTACCTGCCGCTTTTTCATTTGTGGAAATACAGGTTTGCGTTGACTTATTTACGCACAATGACGAAGCACTTCTGTGATCTCAAAAACACCAATTTATTGTTACAAACAATACAGAATAGCAATTCTTTTTCAAACTATTTCCATTTCTATTTCAAAGTAAGTGAATCTAGGCACAAACGACAACCATCATAAGGACAAAATAACTTCCTATCCTTAACTTTGGGCCGATTCTGCCCAACTCGCTTTTCCTCATAAAACACAAAGACAAGTGTAACTGCTGATAGTGTTTTCAATCGATGTGATTGTTCTGGTGTTACTGAATTACCACAGCTGTTACCAGACACGACAGAGGGCAGATTGGATGATGAGCTTAAATAAAACAATGTCTTGGAATAAAGCGAGTCAGCGTTTCACAAAGCACCCGTCCTCTTTTTGCGCTGTGTCACGTCTGTCGACCTTGCACAACAGTGGTGTCAGGTTTGGGGTTTTTGCTGTGTCATTGTTGTGACTCAGCATTCCACAGACTCGAGGGAAGAGTCCTGTGACCAAAAGGAGCGTCTGACGTGCTTAGCGTTAACAGTGAACTGATTAAGATAACGTATGGTCATGTATAACATCTTACATTTAAAAAAAGTCACCCATAATAGTTACCTTATTGAGAGTTGGATAGCGTATACATTGCAAAACCAGCGACGTTGTGACCGCGTCACGGAAGCTGCGCATGAGACTTTTTATCTCATAATTTCGACTTTTTAAGAGCGCAGAGCTCAACTGGCTGAAA